ACCACCACAGCGTCTGGTGCAATTCGGCGGCATATCGGCTATATAATTCGGCTTGGTAAGAAGGAACAGCTTATTCTATCTCGAAATATACGAGGCACTATACCCACCCACGGAAGAAGCTGAGGACAGAAATCTTGTACTGATTATCGAATAAGGTTCCCTGCCTTACCTATCTTGGTGTTTACTACTGGACCGAATAAACAAAATAGAGCTCTATAACATAGATCTCTGAATAGCTAATCAAAGTTTGGGGCAACACAAAAAGGAAAAGCTAAATAACCTAGCGAAAGAATCAAGAATTTTCAACTTGAAACCACACTGCAAGCAGCAAGATGTTGTAGATACCAAGTATATAATGAATGGTATACTAACAATATTGTTTCATTACATTACCAAGACATACATTTGTACAAAAAAAATTTTTACATGACAAAATCTTATTTCAAGACCACTATTACAGCCAATTCATCCAATCCAAAAAACTTCCAGAGAATTAGCCACACGCAATATAGTGCGGATGAGAGAAAATATGGTACAAAAAGAATACGAATTCGCATTTAATGGCAACAAAGTTGTTCCAAGTTCGTAACTGCTTCTGGGGAAAAAGGGAACTGTTGTTTGAGCTTTTCCATATCACAGCACTCTTCGCAATTTGTCCAGAACCCATTTAAGACATCAAGTCTGAATCGATATCAGTAAGTACATCATTCAGTGTAAAATTATTATCTTCTTGTCTCCCAGGTTTCAAGAAATCTAAATCATGGTCAAGTCCAGATGGTGCATACTGTGTGTGTGGTGAACTACCAAGCAAATTTGTGTCCGGCTTTTGCAACTGGTCTGGATGGTTATCATTGCCATAAGCAGCTTGGCCTACTCCCCCGTAAGGGTGTTGAGGAGCAGACTCTAAAGCAGTAAGCAACTCATCCACATCAAACATCTCCTCTGATGGAACCACGCCACCATCATAGGCAGGATTTTCCTTTTTATTGAACAAATCACCATCAATACTTGGTGACGTAATAGGTTCTTCCTTCACTTCCTCCTCTATGAATTCTGCCTTCACGGTGCTCATTTGGGTACCAGTCTCACCAAAATCTGCAGGCCTATCGATATCAGTCCAAGACTCACCATCACCATCGTCTTGTTTTACCCTAAGGGTGTCAACCTTCAAGCCAGTACCATCGGCCAGACAAACCTCAGAGACACTAGAATTTAACTCACATGCAGATGTCATTGGCAAAGAAGAAGATTCATCAGTAGACTCTTTTGGACAGCAGTTTGGAAAGTTAAGCCGGGCTCGTGGGCCATACATTGCTCTAGCAGCTTCGTCATAAGCAAGAGCAGCTTCAATTCCAGTACTGAATGTGCCCAACCACAGCCTACTTCCCCTGTGGGGCTCCCTAATCTCAGCAACCCATTTACCCCACGTCCTCTGCCTAACTCCTCTGTATACGCAATGAACATTCTCAGGACCTCCTTTACCCTTCATACATCCTTTCTTTGATCCCTTGGCTGGAGCTTTACGCACTATCGGTTTGTGTCCATTTTCCAGAGAATCGATTTTATTGTTATACTCTTTCCACTTTGCAAGTGTCTTTTCTACAGATTCAGATCCATCCCTCCTCCTCCTTGACTTCCTCTTTCTTGTATAATCAATGGGTTGGGATGCCCCATTAGAAGCTTGATCGAGAATTTGCGTCATAGTATCTGTGCAAAAGAGGACAAATCTTCAGAAATCCTCCTCAATTGCATAACATTTGTGATCCAACATACAAACATCCAGTTATCATATGCATAACAGACAAACGCACAGTAAACTAATTTGGCGAATTTCATGAAAATAATAACTATCTTATCATGATCGGAAGCACACAAATGCATGCGAATGCACAAGCAATTCCAGAAAAAATAGAACTAAAAGCATACCAATAGGTTACAGCACACAGAGTGAAAACCAATTATTTTCAGGGATCACAAGGGTTCCACTGGATCTTTATATTGAAACATTCAAACAAGTAATCGTTATTTTGTTAATCAAAATGCATACAATCCATACAGCATAGAAATCAGCAAACCACATTTGGAACAAATACCAAAGAAACAGTTAATTTTCAAAATGATATTTAGTATCAATGTCACATACTCTTACGAAAGAAAAGAAGAACCCTAAATGGTTTACTGCAAAATGAAAACCCAGAAAAGAAGAATTCAGCTCCTCCTGCTGATATATCACGAGTTAAGAAACTACTTTTTCGTTGCGGCCAAGAAATCAAAGTCATAAAAGTTTAGGAATCTTCGAAACCGAGTGCGAAGAAGAACCCAATTCAAGTTTTTGGTGCTTTAAATGTTTAATACAAACGAAACGTCAAATTAAGTTCCTCTGCGGATGGCTCCCTAGTTAAGAAATTTCTTTTCATCGTGGCGAAGCAATCAAAGCAGATTCACCAAAATCTCTCCCTTTCTTGGGGGGCATAAATCAACTTAATTCAGAAATTATTAAAACCCCGCATTAAATAAAACCAACAATAATTTCCACAATCAAATTTCTCATCAGAAATTTTACACGTAATAGCCCAAAAATTAATTCAGTAACAATTTTCTCCCAAATCTCACATTTCGTTAATTCCCAGAAACCCTTTATTGAAAATTAAAACAAATTATAACAATACGAACAATAAACAACAATTGATAAAATATACCAATAAAAAGGGAAAAGAAAAGAAAAGAAAAAAAGCATAAACTGGGAAACGAAAGAATCCACAAAAACAATATACCTGTCAACAATCACAGTCCACGTGCAAGAAATATCTATACCTTTTCAAGAATCCTCAATCTCTACAAAAGATCGCGTACGCTTCACGGAACAGTAAAACTTTTCCTTTTCCCTTTTGAGTATTTCAGAGTTCTCGGGGGTATTAAATCTTTCAACAAAAAGAACTTTTCTTCACTGTTTCTTCCACCGAGTTGTTCAACGGCTGTTCGCAGAAAGAATCAAGAAAAATCAGGTTCTTGAATGGGTAAAGGGATATTTATAGCCTTCTCTAGATATTTTGGATAGGAATTATAAAAATATATTTTGACTATGACGAGGATGCACTGGCAGCTGGTATTCTGACACGTGTCTTACGAGCGTCCAGGAACCACACATTTACAGCTTGTGTGTACTGTTTTGCTTGGAACTGAAGCAGTTTCTCGGTTTTATCCTTATTTCCTGTATTGGACCCTAATTTTGAGTCAAATTTCGGTTATGCCCCTCAATTTGAGGTTTCTCTAGGCAAAAATGTCTTTACGCGTAACGTCACTGCCAAACTTTGAAATTCATAAATTTATAAAACAAAATACTAGTAAATTAATAAAATGGGTTAATTTCACAAACAGTCACTGAATTTATCTAAAAATTGTAAAACGATCACTGAAGTTACAAATTTGTAAAAACGGTCACTTAACTTACAAGCACTTTCACTAACGATCATTGAAATTTACAAACTTGCAGAACGGTCACCATTAGGACCTTTATGATTTTAATAAACTTAAATGACCAAAACACGTGAACATAGAACCTTGAGGGCCTCAAGTGAAAATTTCGAACCTTAAAAACTAAGCTTGCTATTTAGTTAATGGTGAAGTAGATATGATTTCAATTAGTAGAATAATTTTTGACTGTCAACAAAAACAATGTTGTTAACATTAAATTGATAGAATTGATAACTAGAAAAGTACTTTTGATATACTTGGACATAATTATTTGACTAAATATTATTTTTTATTTTATAAAATTTATAAAACTAATTATTTTTGGAAAGAATTTTTTTAGTATAAATTTCATTTTTTTTTTATTTTTAAGTATAAAACTAGAAAAAAATTATTTATATTTTTTTAGTATAAATTTCAACAAAAAACCATTTAAGGTTTGAAATTTGTACTTGAGGTCCTCAAGATTCTATGTTCACGTGTTTTGGTCCTTTAAGTTTGAATTAAAATCATAAAGGTCCTAATGGTGATCGTTTCTGCAAATTTGTAAATTTCAGTGACTGTTAGTGAAAGCAGTCGTAAGTTAAGTGATCGTCTCTGCAAGTATGTAATTTCAGTGATCGTTTTATAATTTTTAGGCAAGTTGAGTGATCGTTTGTGAAATTTAACCCTATTAAAATATATGAATAATGATGAATTATTAAAATTATTATTAATTTTGATTAAATTTATAAATATGTCTGTCAAATAAAGTTTTAATATAGTAACTTTTTAGTATGAACAGTGATGAGGACTATAAAATTTGGAGCTTGCTAGGCGTACATAATGGGAGCCATAAGAGTGTCCATAATGGACACCCGATGACCCCCTATTAGAGGGGGCGCCTGGCCCACCGACACCCCTCCAATAGGGGGCCGTCGGATGCCCATTATGGACACCCTTATGGCTCCCATTATGTACAAGGAGAATTATCCATAAAATTTATGGTAAATAACGAATAGTAATTTTTGAATACATGGCTAATAATGAGGCATAGTGTTTGTGTTTCAAATTCAAGTATTCAAAATCATTACTATTTAGCCCATGTTCGATTTAGTTAAAAATTAAATTTTTAGTAGATTTTAATAAAATTTAATAAAATGTGTAGTTGAAAAATCATAAAAGTTGTGGATTTCATTAAATATGTATTTAAAATTAATTATTGATCTTTGACTTCAATTTTTATCAACTTTTTTAGTTAAATCAAACAATGACTTAAATATTTATGACATTTTTGAACTTAAATGGTTTATCCACGATTAGGATGACATTCGAATGAAGTTAATACTTGTTTGATAAAATTTTATTAATATTTTAACTGATCAAATTTGAACCCTTGTTTGGACTTCATTTTAATGTATTTTTTGTGAAAAATATATTATGGAATTGTGATTTTTTTTTTTTTTTGAAAAATCTGTGATTGAATTTTTGAATTTATGTGTAATATTATTTTGCCCTTACTTAACAACATTAATTTTAAATTATTTTTCTACATACTCATTTTTAATCATGCATTCAAATCATAAAATATTTTGAATATAAACCCAAAATTTTTTCATACTTTTAAATATAAAAATTACTATTCAAAATCTTTGTTTTTACATATCATAGCCATCAAACATGGGCTTTATTGAAGAATGTGTGTTAAAAAAAAAAAAAAATAGGGGCTGAATTTTATCACACATTTCATGAAACTTATTATTTTTACCAATTTAACCACACATTTTATCAAAATTTTCGAAAAATCTACTTAAACTTTTATCAAAAACTCTTCATCACAAACCCTAATTGAAAGTCTAAAGACTCTAAATAGACTTAAGCATCAACGGAAATTATAAGTTATAAATGAAATGCCACTCAAATTCATAGATATTTATTCTCTCTCAAATATGATAAAGCATTAGAAATAATTGCTTTGTATATGGAATGGAATATAATACTCCATTATAGGTAACACAATTTTATTTTTATTTTATTTTTTTTAAATTTTTTGGTCTTTAATCAAAACCATGTTTTAGATATATCACACATTTTTGGTATGAAAAACCAACATGTTTAAAATCGATACACATCTGAATATCTAGGCGTTGAAAACAATATAATGATCCATAAAGTCTTTAATTCGAGGATTTCTATATCTTTATTACCATCTTTTAACAACCTTTATAAAATTTTCAAGGATAACTTAAACTTTTGATCCCCATTAAATTCAATTACATTACATTCTATTTTTCTCTCTCCTATTTTCAACCACACAATCTTCCATAAAATAATATTACATGTAAATCGAAAACTTTTTTTTTCTTTTTCAACCACTCATTTTTCTAAAAAATATTATTCCTCCCATTTTCATTTTCAAGTAATGGGGCTCAAACAGGGGCAGTGTAAATCGGAAGAATTAGGAGCATGAACCCTGCTAAACCATCAGATCTCTGGAATCTGTGATCTTTAAATAGTTGGTTTGAATCCTCGTGAACCCTTGAACGATTTGATTCTAAATCAGATCAATCCATTTATATCATTTTCGTATAATTTTGTACTAAATCATAGAGTTTTCGTACAAGTCCTTATTATCCAATTTCTTGTTAGTTTATTGAGTCCCTCCCATTCTTTTCTCGTATGACTTATCTTATGACATGGACAGTGTTGTTGATTGAAATATGCCACTTGGTAATAACTAAGGTTGAAAAATAAGGATAAAACTCCTTGGACGGGCCCGTGTCCAATAGGGGGCTGCCACGTCGAACAGGGGGCCTATCCATATAGCATCCCCCGAAAAATAAAGCTTATTTCACAGGATAATATCATAGTAACCTGATTACAAGTGATGATAAATAATATTACTCTAATGTCCATTATTGTTATGTAAATTTAAACATCAATGATGCTACATCATAACATTGTTCTTTATTTATTTTAGAAAAATATTATTTGTATATCCAACAAAATTCAAAGAAAGTGATTATTGTTATGTAGCGAATTGATGAAATTAAACAAAAATTCTTCTACCTGTTACGAGATTAAATTTTGGTTTATAGGTTAATTCTTTTTAGTTAAATAAATTACAACCCTTGGACGTTTTTCTCTTTTTTGTTAAATTCCACTCATGATAAATTACATCTAAGAGAAGCCTTTTATCTCCTGGAAAATGAATCGGAGAAATGGTAATTGCGAAAAGTTAATATTGTGTTTGTCAAATTCGAGTAATCGAGATCAACACGTAATCGAGTGAATTATGAACTTAAATTTTGACGATCCATTCATGATCATAATGAAACTCAGATGAAATTAATTGGAGGCTCAAACGTATTGGTGTTTTTAAGAAACAAGACATGGATTGCGGTTAGGAATGAAAAAAAGAATTATTCTGTAAGTACATAACCCCTTATCCTTATGTGCCCTCTATGTACCCCAAGAATAACTCATGAAATAAAACTCAAATACATGTCTATTTGTTCTCTATAATGCGTCAAAGAGACTAATGATTCATTTGATAGGTTCTTCTATTTTGCTTCTGCTTCTTGCAAAATAATTTCATTAAAATTTAGTTTAATTGATATTTGGGAATTAATTTCTAAAAAAAAAAAAAAATTTAAAAAAAAAAAAATATCATCTTTGATAAGAGTTTTTAGAAAAAGTCACATTGAGATAGCTTTATTTAAAAACTTTTCGAACTTGAATAAATTTTTTTTTTTCCATATAAAAGAGAAACATACACAAATACCCCTAAAACCAGGGGTACTTTGAAAATTCTGTCTAAACTTGGGGCTGAAAATTAAATACATCAACTTACCCACTAAAATCGTATTTCATATCATACATGAGGAAATATCACCACGTACCTAAAATTTATTAAAAATTTCCTTTTTACATTTTAAAACTTTTTTCACCAGTATATTTGAAAAATAGAAAGTATACTCAATCCCATATTTAAAATAGTAATAACTGAAATTATTCCACCAAATATACTGTAGTATAATTGTTTGGCCCATTTAAAAATGATAGAATATTTCAATTGGATCAAATATTATTGGTCTTCTTATTTTCATGAAGCCTGTTTCTTTTATGCAATTAATAGTTGGACTATAACCTGTACTTTTGTTGGGCCCTTTTTTAGAGTATTAATTCTTGGGCACATATATGTCTGGGAAAAATTCATATTTAAAGCATATTGTTTCAACAATTAAAAATTAGGTAGATAATTTAAAATTTCAAAATTCAGGTATATATTTAATTAATTAA